CCCTGCACCGGGCGGCGCCGGCGGCTCCAGGTGAGGACCAGGCCTTTGTCTTATCCCCGCCGCCTCCTCGGGGCTGCGTGGTTGGGTTTTGTGGCTCTGTTTTTTGGACTTGTAACCGACAGTCTGTAGAGCCGTTTTTGAGGGCGCGCCCGAGATAAATCGTTTCCCCCCCTGGTTAATTTTGTAAAGTGTCGTCTCCACATCGTCATGTAAAATATGTCCAAAGCAACTTGGTTGCCTTTCTTTCTGAGCTTTCATTTTCCTCCCCTCCCCTTCTGTAGCACAGTCTGTAATCAACCGGGGTGGCCTAATAGGAGAAAACCCTCCTTCCCTTCTTCTCTTTATACAGACTGTGAGGAAGGCAGCAAGGGAAACTAGTTCCTATAATCATATTTATATATATATCTAAGTGATAGCATCCTTCAGATTTACCCTTGCAAGCTGCAGCTCTAGCACGTTCTGTAAATGATGTGCTTGGTTTTATAACTCAAGTCACAGTGCCAGGCACTCTGGGGTCTGGGAAGAATCTTCTGTAATCGTGGTTCAGGCCTTTTACCAGCAGTTGAAGGCAGGGAACTGTTCAATTTACACCCCCCTGGTGGGTGTCAGTATGTTTGTGTCTTGCCTTGTTAGGCTTTCTTTTTCCTGCCTCTCCTAATTTCAAGAGTGGAATTGTTGGTATGTCTTGGGACTGAGCTTTTCCTTCTCTTGCCCCTGAAATCTGCAGGGCAACAGTTTGCATCACGCCTGTGTTCAGATTTCTGGCTGCAAGTTTGACTGAGAAACAAATAATTCCTCTTAAAAATCGCTCGGAATAATCTCATGCTGCATTTATTATCCTAAGGTCATAGCAGTTGTATTGGGGAGATATGAAGTAATTCCTTTGCATGCGTCTAAATTATATTGGTGCTGGGGGGCAACTCTGTTTTGTCTTGCTTGTCTGTAAAAGCCATAAAGTTATTTGTTGTTTTTATCCAAGACTGGAACAGCTTTGTCACTCGGACCAACACTTGTGGGGAGCTGCGTTCTGCTCACGTGGGACAAGAGGTCACACTGTATGGATGGGTTCAGTATCAAAGGTAAATGCCAAACAAAGTGAAAATGGAGATAACTTCTTTTCCAGATCCAATATATGGTTTAGACCTGGATTCCAACACTCTTTTCCAGGTTAACTTCAGTTTTTTTTTCAGATAACTTCAGGTTATCTTTATCATATCCTGCAGCTGCCACTTCTGAAGTAAAACAGTTGACAACTCTGCCAGATCAGTATTTAACATTTCAGAGTTTCATCCAAATGTTAATTGAGCCTCAAGCAACACTGTAGAGCTGTTAAATATCATTGCCCTCATTGTATAGAAGAGAAAACAAGTAATGGCATATTTATAGCAAGTCTAATAGCTGTGAGCAAGTAATTTCTTTTATATGGGGTCCTTAAATTTTAAGCAAATGATCTTGTTTGTCTCTTCAGCTGCAAGCACCTAGTGATGCATATTTAAAGTATTCAAGCTTTTTTTTTTTTAAAGAAAGAAGTACTCAGAAAAAGTAAGCAGAGAATGAAATGTTAATTCCAAGAGTTGGCTGTAGGTGGCGAGATGTCATCATTCCTAAGGGGGTTGAACGTTCTGTAAATGTAGGGTGAAAACCATGTCTGCATAGAGCATGGATGGTGCTCCAAAATGTCCTGGGGGATGTGCTTGTAACATGGAGATAGTTCCTGTGGCTTTGGTGACACTGATTTGTGCCAAAAGTCGCCTTATGCATTGTCTGGTTCAGAGAGGCTGTTCTTTACCCAGCAATGATGGTCTGGGTGGGTTTGTTTTCAGGAGGTCCTGAGCATCTTATTTTTGAACAGTCCCTGTTGGAGCTCCAGGAAACAGTGTTATGGCAATGAGGTGGTTGTGCTCTTGCTTTTAAAGGCAGCTGGAGTGTGTTCTATTTGACTGCTTCTGGATGGATTAAGTGCAGTGGTAGCTGTGTCTGCTGCAGGTGAAGTGAGCAGGATTTATGACTAGGCTGAGGAGTGTTCGTTTGTCATGTGAAAATTTTTATTGGACTAATGTTCTCCTTGTTATGTGGTTGGATTTTATTTTCTATCCATGTCAACTTTAGTTTTATTGTTCATCTCAATGTATTTCTCTGCCCCATGTTTCACAGCAGGAGATTGCACATTTTCAGAATCCCTGCTTGACGTGGATTAATACTCAAATTAAAATCCTGCCACTCCTGGTTATTTGAGCATTGTTTGTCTGTGGCTGGGCAGAACCTGAAATTGTTCAGGTTAGATTCAGATGTGGGAAAAGTATCTGTACATACACTGCTTGAGAGTGCTTTGGGATTAGCCACAAGGTACAGAAAGCAACTGGTTGCCACGTGCTTTGGCTTAAAAAGCAGAAGACTATTGAATTCTTGAAAGAAAACAAACCAACATTTTCCCTTTGTGTTTTTCGTGAATTAGACAAGGCCTGTTCCTGGTTTTGAGGGATTTCCAGGGGCTGACCCAGATCATCATTCCACAGGATGAGGTAAGTGCTACCAAAATATTGAGTCTCTGTTGGTTTTGGCTTTTTCCCTTTGGCACCCTGGGTCCAGCAGAGGCATTTTGTCAGACTCACTCACAAGTAGACATTGTGAGAGCACGGATCTGACAGAGCATGAATGCGGTTTCCTCTGCCTTGTGAGGAGTGATCCTGGGCCATTAGTCCCTTGAGCATGGTGCAGTTGTCCTGTTCTTTGAACCATTGGCATCTTCTTGCAGGCACATTCCCATGTGAAGGAGCTCTTGTCTAATGCCCCAGTGGAGTCTGTTGTGCGAGTGACTGGAATTGTGTCCCCTCGGCCGCCGGGGCAGGAGAATCCGGTGAGAATGTTGGGGTCTCTCAGGGTTTTTAATTCCTTGTGGACAGTAGGATTATGGTGGGGTTTGTGTCGTATCTTTGCCATGGTCTCTGGGTGCCTATCCTTGGATAGTGTGAGGAAAAATAGCTATGACATGTAACTTAGAGAACCTCAAAGCACATTAAACACCCACCAATTAAATTGTATCCCAGCCCTTTGAAAGGATAATGGCCAGCTCTTCCAGGCTTTCAAAGTGTGGCTAAGATAATTTCTTTTTCTTGAAAATTAATGTTGTCATCACAAATCCCACAGCATGTGATGACCTTTTTCTCACTAGTAACAGATTTTGCTGTTCTCATTGTATAGCAAACAGAGGTCAAATAATGGTTGGTTTTTTTATGTTGTGCATTCCTCAGCTCTCACTGTCATCAGCCATAGATTAATCTGTCAGGGTTGTGTGTATCCCATCATTGACAGGCTTAAAAAGAGAGCTTGGATTTATAACCATGATTTTTTTTCTGTTTGTTTGCTCTGGCCATGATTTTTATTGTTCTGACCACTTACAGATTTCCATAAATAATGCAGGCTTCAAGCCATGCCTTTATTTCTTTTAATAATTTATCATTTTGTTGGAAGTTTGTAGATGCTTTTCCCTGGTAAACAGAAGGAAATCTGTAGGATTGAACAAACCTTGGTGTGGCCCAGTGCTGAGTGGGGGAAGCTGTCTCTTCTCCCTGGGGATCTAGGAAAAAGGAGGCTAGTTCTGAGAACTGCTGTTCAGAACTGGAAGTTCTGAGAAGTTCCTAACAAGTCGCCTGTTCTGGGTTGTGTTAAGGGACTGATGGTTCTTATCTTCTGGTGCTGCTGATGCACACTAAAATGTATAGTGCATGGATTCATTGAAGCTAATGGAACCAGTATTTTGTGGAAGTACATGTGCCCTAGAAAGGTCTGTGCCTGGCTGCTCCTCTTTGCTCAGGATGTCCTTCAAGGAAAAGGCAAATGAAAAGTAGTTTTACATCTCACAGAGATCATCAGTATCCTACAGGGAGAGAACATGCTGTCTTTCATGAAGTGACTTTTGTTTTCTGAGCAGAAGGCAAATGCAGGAGAAAGCCACCCTTGAGAGAAGTTCTCTGAGTTATGCTGTGCTTGAAGGCAGGGAGGATAATCACAGGGCTTTCTTTTTACCTCCTGACTATATGTAAAATACCTGTGTCCAGTTTTCCCTGAGTTTTGAATCTTAATTTTTTTTCTTGCCTGTTTGCTGCAGAAAATGCCTACAGGGGATATTGAAGTGAAGGCAGAGACTGCAGAGATCCTAAACTCTTGCAAGAAGCTACCTTTTGAAATCAAGGATTTTATCAAGGTGTCTGTGTTTTTCCTTTTCCTGACCCCCTCCCCCCCAAAAAAAGTGGTCACTTTTCAATAGATTAGGAATTTGCTCAGGATGATGGCAAAACATCTGAGAGCTTCAGCTGGTTGTCCCAGGCCTATTTTGGGGGAAGGGTGGTATTTAAAATAGGGGTGCTGCTTACTGGCTGTCAGGATGTATTTCTAGTTAGAGTTAAGCAGAAGACAAGGCTTGAACGATTCCAGTGCACAGGGTTTTCAAGTATCACTCTTAAAGCAGTTGGTAAAGGGAAGAGGGAAAGAAAGGAGGCTATCCTGGACTTTTTGAGAGTGTGAAACAGAACCTGCCAATGAGCTGCTGTGTTTTAGGGCAAGGGTGCTTCTCTGGGCAAGTATCTAGTCAGCCAGAGGATTTTCTTCCTCTGTAAGTACACAGTCTTACAAGAGGCTGGTTTTAGAGCAGGCTCTGTGGGGTAGGAAGGGCATCACTGTTAATTGAAGATATCATCTGTGCCATTGAAACTGTGACTGATACATGGGTGATGGAGCTGGGAGAACTGGGCCTTCTGTGTTACAGGTCCTGGGCAATTCCCATCATCTGCTGTACTTCAGTTTTCCTGTCTGCAGTAAGGATGTATCCCCATTTGGTTGTTCCTTTAGATCTTTGTGTGACACCACCCCACTTAAAAATCAGGAGGATTGCTGCAGTCCATTGCATTTGGCTGAGAATAAGGAGGCCTGAAATTCTGAGCCTTTCTGAGGCAGCTCTTGCCACAGCAAATGTTTTGTTGTTGTTTGCGTTTTTTTAGAGTAATTCTGCATGGAAACACTCCCAGTGGCTGGTGTTCATGTAGGTTGTGAGTAATGAGTGTGTTGTGGCAGCAGAGCAGCAGCCTTTTGTAGCTTCCCCCTTTTGTCCTGCAACTTTAGGAGCAGCTTCACTGGATGTGCAATCTGAATTTTGTCTCTTAATCCTGAAATCTCCTCCTGTCTCCAGAAATCAGAGGCCTTACGGATGCAGTATCGCTACTTGGACTTGAGAAGCTTCCAGCTGCAGCACAACCTGAGGCTGAGGTCACAGATGGTGATGAGGATGAGGGAATATCTGTGTAACCTCCATGGTAAGAAACATGCTTCAAGAGCAAACGAGTGCAGCAAACAACATTTCAGCCCTCCCTTCTTCTGTTTCCCGTTGCTGGGAGGGATTGCCAATCAGTTTGCTACTCCAAACTGGTCCCACTTAGTGAGGACAGATCTGCTGGCAGTGGGGTCTTTAGAGGGCTGTTGGTAGGCCTGAAGAGCAAAGTGTGTTGAAATCTCTTAGCAGACTACAGATCAGTTGTTTCAAATAAGCTGTATCCAGTGAGAAAAGGCCTTTGGCTGGTAGTTTCCCTCTTTTGGTCACCCAACTTGTGGCATGTCAAAGGGATGGATTTCTTCTAGGCCTTGTGCTTATCTTAAAATTGGGAAGTCCATTCTGGAAAAGACAAGCCTGGTTCAAAATGGATGGAGAATTAACAGTTTTTTAGCCTCTGTGGAGCCCTCTGTCATCAACAGTTCTGGGAGGATGATTAGCTCAGAGCCTTTAAATCTGTCATTACACAAGTTACTCTCAGAAGCATCAAAATCTGTAGATTCCAGTGCACAGGGTTTTCAAGTATCACCCTTAGAGCAGATGGTGAAGGGAAGAAGGAAAGAAATGAGGCTGTCCTAGACTTTTTGAGAGTGTGAAACAGAACAGAAATCTGTAGATTTTGAGGGGCTACATGGTGTGCTGGACTACCTGTTGTGCAGAGTAGCTGTAGTCTAGCCTACTTTGTGTCACACTAGTCCTTGCTCTCAGCATATTCCCTATCTGAAGGATGTGTTTGTTCCTCAGGGTTCGTGGATGTGGAAACTCCAACCCTCTTCAAAAGAACCCCAGGGGTACGTGTTCTCTCCTGTGATTGCATAGGCAGTTCATGATTGAATAACAGGTCCTTTCCTGTTGCACTTTTAGTCTGGTTTGTTAGCTTACAATTTCCAGATTTGCTTCTGCAAAATAGCTGTGTCTGAGGCTTTGTTATACCCCATTGCAGAGTCCATACTCCCAGTAATGATCCACCCTGTTTCTGCACTAGATGCAGTGTGAGGCTTTAGTCCTGTGTATGTTTAACCTTATTGCTTCAAAATAATCTGTGATGTTGGCACTAGTTTTGATTCAACAGTTGAGCCAGAACTCAGTAGTAGGGGTATGTCTCTGGTGGGAGCAAAAGATGGGGAGGGAAGGAGTTCTGTAAAATCCATTGAAAATTGTAACTACCTTGGAAAGGGCACCCTGTGCTGCAATTCCTAGAGAACTCTGACAGGACTGTGCATTTTAGTACCCCTTGATTGACATAGCTTTAATTGCTGTGCTGACATCTCTTGCTCAAAAGTTCAGTGTTTCTTGAGTGTTTCAGTCTTCTGGGTGAATGGAAGAAAGTCTATAGCAGAGGTGTGAAAAATTGACTCATAGGTTTGGAAACACACTCACTAATGTTCTTTTAATCTTAATTTGTATGGTCACTTTTGTTTTTGCATAGAGATGAATGCTCAGAAATTCTCAATTCTTTTTAGTTTCTCCATGGAAACACCAACTACTGAATTTTATAGTATTTAGCTTGGCTGACTGTGGAAATAAGGCAGCAATCCCATTGCCCTTCTCAAAAATATAAATCCCTTTGTCATTTCCAAAGCTTTGGAAAACAAGAAGTTCCTAAAGCCTGTAATGGAAGGAATTGAAGCCACTTATTTGCTGAGTCCTGTAAGCTTCTGTCTTTCTTTTGATGCCAGGGAGCAAAAGAATTCCTTGTGCCCTCGAGGGAAGTGGGCAAGTTCTACTCTCTGCCTCAGAGTCCTCAGCAGTTCAAGCAGCTCCTCATGGTTGGAGGCCTGGACAGGTAGTAGTTTTTTGGACTCTTGTTCTCTGCCTGTGATGTCCAGGGTTTGCTTGCTTCAATTTGTGAGGTTTTGGATATTTCCCCAAAAACTTACTGTCATGGCTTTTGTGTTTTGAAGAGGGATCTTTAAATACTTGGGACTTCCCAGGTAAGCCAGACCCTTTTCCCTTCAGCAATAATGCCTGTAAGAGGAAATGCATCCTCTTTAGAGGTTGAAATCTTCACTGTGTTTTGAAATGGAAACCTGATCTGAAGCAGTCTGCCTGAAGAGCCTTTCCAAGAGTAACCTGTAGAACTATTTGTGATGAATCTGGGCAGCTCAGCAGGACTGAGACAAGGAAAACATGTTCTCAGGGTGCATGAGCAAGCAGCTTTTTACTGGGCTTGTGCCTCCAAATTAAACTGAAGGAGAGGGAGACAGTTGCTCATGCAGTGATCTGCAGGCCAGGTCTTGATTGTGACTGAGTTTAGCATGGCCCTTAGCAGGGTCCAGGTTTGGAGCAGAAGGTGGGAAGGGGGTTGAGTGTGTCCCTGCTGGGACACAGCTCACCTGGGAGCCTCCAGAGATGTGGCTGGGGATGGATTCAGTTGCTTCTGAGGGGATGGGAACAATCAAGGCCATGATCAACTGTTGCAAAGGGAACAAACAGACCTCTTTTTTTTTTTTTTTGTGATCACTTCTTTACCCACAATTTAATTTGTTACTTTAAAATGTTTTCTAAGTAAAAATGCTCTTGCAGGTACTTCCAGGTTGCTCGTTGCTACCGAGATGAAGGTTCCCGGCCTGACAGGCAGCCTGAATTCACCCAGGTAACCAGCTCACTCTGCCTTTCCCCTTCTCCTCACCCCAGACAGCTTGTTTTCCCTTCTGGCTCCCTGTTTTCTGTGGGTTCTTATGCTGGTTGGGGCCACCATGTTATTTGCTGTGTGTTTCCCAGACACAGGCCCTTGAAGTCAGTGTGGGAGATGCACAGAGGGGTTACTGTCCTTGGCTGGCTGCACAGTCCCAGGTGCTGTAGATGTGGGAACTGTTGTGCTTGATGATGCAATCTTGTCCTGTCCTTCTGGGTCCTCTTCCTCAGCATTAAGATCCCAGGCAGAGTTAGCCTGGCTCATCCAAGGTTTCTTGCTCTGTCCTTGTCATCCTTACCTCATTCACTTCTCTGAGGAGATTGTTGCCTGAGTCATCAGGCTGTACTGAGGTCATAAGCACATCCTCGGTCTAATGCAGTCATGCTGTGATTTAATGTGTATTGTTTCTTTCTATGCTGGTTCTATAGTCAAGAGCTTCTGCAAGTAGCAGTGTAAAAACCTGTAGATAATATGGAATCCCCTCTGTTTTCTGTTTTAAGATAGATATAGAGATGTCATTTGTAGATCAGTGTGGGATCCAGAGACTCGTAGAGGGCCTCCTGCAATATTCCTGGCCTGAGGGAAGAGGCTCTATTACAACTCCTTTCCCTTCCATGACATATGAGGAGGCACTGGCTGACTATGGGAGTGATAAACCAGACACTCGTTTTGGGATGAAGGTGAGAGTTTGCCCAGTGGGATTTTGTAGCTTCTCCTTTCTGGTGATGTTTGAAGAATAATTTTTGTTTCAATCATGTATATGTGTTTGGCTACAGTTCTTTATGCTGTATCTTACCCAAGGTGTCCATCCCATCAGTGCTGCTTTGTACACATAATCCTGTCTTGGAGAAGGGAGGGTGTGATTATTTGGTTGTGGGAAAATGTATGTTTTCACAACATTTTATTTTAAAATTAATGAAGTGTTAGGAAGCAATGCCTCTTGACTGTCTTAAGAACAGAAGCCCCTAAGGCATCCACAGATCAGTGGTGTTATCTATTAAGAGGAGCAGTATTGAAAAGCAAGAAAGCATCTTGCATTTCCCCAGGGATTAATTTTGGGGGTTTCTTTGCCAGCATACAGCTTTCCTCATTGTGGTGGGATGTCATCATCTCAGGCTTTCCTGGCTGTCTTGCATTTCTGTTCCTGCAGTGTTCAGCCTCCCAATGGTTATTCCTTCTTCCTGTGAACAATCTGGTTTCTCTCCATCTCAGGCTTTCCTGGCTGTCTTGCACTTCTGTTCCTGCACTGTTCAGCCTCCCAATGGTTATTCCTGCTTGGGCCCATTTCCTTCTTCCTGTGAACAATCTGGTTTCTCTGCGCAAAGAAATGATACCCTAGGGAATGATGTTCAAGGTGTTAAGATACAGGTGCAGGGTTTTTGCTTCATGTTCCTACCACTGCTGCTTTTTCCTGTGGTCTCCTCTTTTTCAGATAGTGGATATTGGTGACTTGTTAAGAAGGTCAGACATCCAGTTTGTGCAGAAGGCACTCAGTTACCCATGTGGTGCTGTCAAAGCCTTTTGTATCCCTCAGGGAATGGTAAGTGATGCTTTTGCACACTGCTTATGGTTTATGTGAAATAATGAAATACCAATTTGAATCCCTTTGTTAGTAGGGAAATGTTCCTTGCTTTTCCTGGGGGAGTAATGCCCTTCAGGGAACTTGGGATGGGTTGTGATTGACATCAGGTTGGGCTGGGTGGTGTTAGAAGAGGGGAATGGAGACAGTCAAGTGACAGGAAGAATGTATTGTTCTCAGAAAGAGGAGGCAGAAAACAGAGCTGCACACCCTTAGAGGCTAGGGAAGCCTCTTGGGGTTTCAGCCTGCTTTTGTCAAGGATGGCTTCTGATGTGGATCTCAATAATAAATTGTACCCTGTGATGAGAGGTTGAAATATAGCCAGTTATGGCACAGCTCTGTTCTGGATCAGTGAGAGAAAGGTCAGGTGGCTACAGTGCCCTTCTCATGGTTGCTTTTGCTGCGTTTCTGGGCACAACTTAGGTCTCGTGGTGAGAACTTCACAGACCAAAGCCAAGGCTGACAATTGATGTAGAAGATGATTGGAAGTAGCCATCTATTTTGGCAGGGAAGCAGATTTAATTCTGGCTCTGGGTGTCTTTGCAGTTCGGGCAGTATGGGAAAAGCAAAATCCACTAAACACTGAGTTTGATCTGGGGAATGGAACTCTCTGACCATGGTTTCTCTTGGGATTCCTTAATTCTAACCCAAAGTGCAAGTTACTGGCTTCCCACGTGAGAGAGGGCACTAAGCTGTGAATTTCAGCAAAGCAGAAGTGGATTCTGGACCCCCTCTAACATCAGAGTAGGTGAAAAGAAATAAAGATTTGAGGCAGGTCCTCACATCTACTGCATTTCTTTGCACATGAGAGTCAGCCTTTGCAAATACATGCTGATGTTTAATGTGCCTTCCTTTACTTTTTCTCCAGAGATATCTTAAAAATAAAGATTTGGAGTCCTTAAAGGAGTCTGCAAAATCCCAGTTTAACCAGGTGAGACAGAAACACTGCAGTGGCTTGGAAATGGTGAATAAAAAAGTGTGTGTGCAGGCACTTGCAGGCAGAGGAGGGTAGAAGAGCAGTTTCTGATCGCTGGGTCAGTGCCTGCACCTGTGATGCTTCAAGACACGAGAGGGCAGCACTGAGCTGAATAGAGTCTTCCCTTTCTTTAGGAAATCATGGAAATCATCTGCAGACCTGATGGAAGCTTGAAGTCTCTGCTTACAAAGTTTCTTGGTGAGAAGCAGCAGTCTGAGCTCATCCAAGCACTGAACATGCAGGTGGATGATGTGGTGCTGCTGGCAGCTGGTGAATGCAAGCAAGTGGTAGGAAGCATTTACTGGGTGGCTCTGTGAGTTGAATGTTGCTGATGATGGCTTTGATGTTATCTGACCTCAGTCTGATTCTTCTGATTAATAAAATAGGTCATCATCTAGTTCTGTGTTTCTCTAGAGCTGAAGCTATAGCAGCAGCAAATAATGCATGAAATGTGGCCCTTGCTTTTATTTCCCCCAGTCAGATTCTGGGGATCACTTGTAACTGAAATGAAGGCTGGAATATAAACCAGGAAAGAATCAGTGCCTCCTTTTCTCTCACCTGAATTTTTAAAGTATTGTACCTCTAGAGATTGGAAAACAAGGTCAACTAGGTCATTTTGTCTCCCATAAGCAGATGAATGAAGCTCATTAGCAGCAGTAACAAGAGATTCTGTCCCTGCCCTTCTCTCGTTCTTGCCAGCTTCCATGTGTTGCTGTATGACAAGGTGTCATGCTTTGCTTGATAGCCAAAATTTGGTCATATTCTCTTTCTGTGCCTTAATTTCCCTGTCTGCAAAGTGCAGATCTTACCTGTGCTTCCCCAGTCAATCCACATTTGTGTAGACCTTGAGGTTAGTCTGGGACAGTTCTGTGAAGATTGAAAATTTGCAAGAAAATGAGCTTTCCAGCTCCTTCCTTGCCTTTCTTTGTCAAACCCTGGAGCTGCCTCAGCATGAAGGGGCTATCTGCTGGGAGAGAAAGTGAAA